CAGAAACGGCCTAGGCCTTCTACCAGAGGGATTTTGCTCAGGGTCCGAGGATAGAGGGGAAGAAGATGCACTTCCATTATTGTCGTCGTTCTCGAGTGTCGACACCGGGATTGTTTGATCACCCGGCACAGTAGTCGTCTGAAAGGATCAATGAAGAGACTTCGGTAAACAATAAATGGACAAGTCAATTGACCCAATGGTAAAAAAATCATGGCCTCGGTGGGATTCGAAGCTACATCAACAGGGAAGACTTTGGTACAGGCAACGTTCTACCAATTAAGTTAGAAAGGCATGCCGAAAGCCGTGAACTTCAGTTTTTTCAGTTTATTTGGTGAGGCAAAGCCCTTGGAAACCCCAATCACACTATGGTCGATTTACCCGCCCAGCCTACTGCACGTATAGAATTCACCAATACATTTATAGTAAGCTGAATGCCCAGGCAGGATTTCCTAGGCAATCATCTAGGATCCACCAGAATGACTGCTAGGCATACTTACATACAGATTAGGGGAGTTTGGTAAATTTGAATAATTCAGTTTAACAGACGGCTTACGTTGCTGTCTTTTTTCATAGCTACCTCCCGAGAGTCGACTGGTTTAGTGACTTAGAACAGAAGGTTGTTGGGGAGCAACGTGGGGGTAAATGAGTAAAAGCTCCATGGACGGAAAACAGCCCAGAGAAAACCCACGAAAAAGCCGCGCAGATGAGAAGAGGACCTTAAAATGAGACATGCGTTGTAGCCTAACTGCGGACTACAGAAGAAGTCCACAGGTGGCGGATAGCGAAACGGTCACAAACATAGGCTAACTACAAAACTGGAAGGCTGTTTGGTCTGCTAACTAAGTGGTCTCGGGCTATATACTAAAATGGAAAACATAAGCAAATTCAAGGTCATAACGGTATTACAAAGTGCCGAATTATGCCGGCAATTAAATACGACAACCCCAAAACGTAGACTGATATGTCGGAGGAGCGGATGGGAAGTTCATATGAAACCATCGTTCCATTAAGACAAAAAACATCGGCATAGAAGACATATGATCGAGCACCGGAACAAATTGCATTTGATTCTGAGCTTTCGGGCTCCTGCAGGAGTCCATCGTCAGAGATGGGAAAACAGTAACAAATGGGGTGGCTACTTGTGGCGTGTGTACAATAACTAAAATTTGAACGTATAGAAAATCAATAATTGTGTGTTTGTGTTGCCGACTCGCCACTGTGGACTGTGTTAGCCTGTGCCAGTAGGCAAGATCGGCATGTTGGGTGGGAATATTTACAGAAATAAAATCATCAACGAAAACAAGCAACAGTTAAGGGGGAGGGGCAATTAAAAGTTTTAGGAGAGAGGAAGGAGGATGAGAGGAGAGAGGTTGTGTAAAAATTGATAACTGTTAGGCTTGGACGCAAAAATAGCCACGTCAGCACCGAAAATGGAGTGATTATGGAGGATGTTTGGCCAATTAATTACGGTGGGTGTCTGGATGTGATCGTTTGTAATAGCTCAGAATCATAAACTATTTGTTCCGGTGCTCGATCATGTGTCTTCTATACCGATAGAAATATCTGGAGCGCGAAATTTCTCTTTCATTCGAGACAAAAAAAACAGTTAAAGTGCATTTACTATCTTATAAAATGTAAACCGGCAGTGTGAAATGTGTCCTCCATTCAAACACTTCTAATGGTAATGAACGTGTAGCCTAATCTCAAAATATTTGAGTAACCTCAGGCTGCCGGTTCTTGAACATGCTTCGTTCTGATCACCTACAACAAGCATATCCTGTTAAAATGACTGTTTAGTAGGATGTAATCTCATTGATTTTCGATGCCTTATAAATTCAAATATAAAGTTTATAAGAAGCACACATCAATATATTCTTTCTTATACTCGTTTGGTGGCAAATAACGCCCCCTTCGAATTTTTAATTGATGATAGGGCATACTTCGGTTTTCAAAAGGTGTCTAATTATGAGAGTTGCAGACCCCGAAATGTTCATTCATAACACACTGTATCTGCCAATTTGTTAATGTTTCCTATAAAGTATACAGCATGATCCACATCCATTGCAAATTTGCTAAGAGCACTAATACGACATCTTCATAGCGACGAGGAATGATTGACTTACCTTAGATACAAAATGCAGTTAGGAAAACCTAGATTCAAGTCCAAAGACCTGAACGGTTTAAAATTATTCGGTAATTTAGAAAGTTTTTTTTAAAAAACGGAATGACATTGCTGATAAAGACAAGGGGACTGGAATAGCCATTTTTGACTAAATATCCGCCATCAACCAGCCATACCCAACCCCCAGGTGGTGCACCACACGAAGCTCGGACCGGTAATGTCCTTCTGCTCCTATCCCTAGCCGCCGTGCAGCTGTTGCCGGAGTTCGAGAGTGAGCCCCAAGGCACAATGGAAGGAGTGAGTCCTTTGCCCAATTGGTGAGCGCCCATCAACCATCGACCGTTCTGTAATCGATTTCTTTCTTTCTACAGCTAGAAACCAATTAACATTTAATGGACACAATCGGAACATAAACATCTCCCATTAACATCGAATGATCCACAATCCAGATTAGTAAGGTTTCGCCAAAGGCGGCGATCGAAACTACTTCTTCTCAAATTCTCTTTAGGCTTGGACATTTATATAGAAACTAAGTAAATAAGCTATGCGGGTGGGTAGAGAAAACAGTTTGGTTGTCAGGGGCGGTGGGGGGATTGAGGTCAACAGGTGAGCGTCAGGGGAGACCGGCAGCCTAGACAGGAAATGAGCTGCGGGCGGTTGGATTAGTGACTTTCGGCCATGGCAAGTGCGACGCCGTTACAGAGTTCTTTTAGGCACACAGGACCCATCTGCATAGCCTGATGGCAGCCGCTTCTGCTGTAGCCAGCAGACGCCGTGCAAGACATTTTGAATAGCTCAGAAAGCCTCTCTGGCATCCACGCGATGGTCTGAGTCTATATGCGCTAGAGTGGAACTGTCAATGCTCTTTATTTAGCTCATTCATAACCATGCTGGAAGATTTTCCCGTACTGTATTGGACAAAGGCCAACTCGTGCGAATAAGCAAACGTATAGTCGCCAATTTATCTTTTGAAATTTTCAATGGGAATTTTCGCAAATTTAAGTACAGTAATCGAGTTTAATTACATTTTGTGGTTCTTATTAATAAGTAAAAAGTTAAGGGGACGCGCAATTTACCGAAGAGTTCGCTTGACTGATAGAACCATCCTCATCGCCTGTTAGACTCTCCACCCGAGAAGAGCAAGACGAAGTCCATTCTTTGGTGGATACGATCGTGGATCCTTTAGCTAGGGACGGCGACTGTCGTGATTCTTCTGCCTGTCAAAATAGAAGCAGCACAGAGACGTTGATGAGATCACGACGTAAATAGGAGGTAAAAGAAGCGGACCACTACTTTAGGATTACAACAAAGCAGCAGGATAAACTGTTTGTGTTTTTCTTTTGGGGAACTTGGGATCTAAATCGCCAAGTCTGCAGTCTTTAGGTTAGCAAGTGCGAAACAGCTGCCTTGAAGTTGCATGACGTTGACACAGCGGGCACTGAACACGGAAGGGGGGACAGCATTGTTGGCTGTCCGCCACAAGTCTATCCTGATTACAGGATAAAACTGTGTCCTGCTGTTTTGTCTTTCAGGGCAGGGTTTAGAACAGACCCAAATTGTCGCTTGAAGATGAGCAATCAGATGTGTAATTGATATGGATCAGGAGCAGAAAAATAACCCCTTCCGGTCTATTGGGTATCGTATTGTAGGCGGACTGTAATTACGTCCTATTAGGAGTAACTAGCCATGAGAAAGTGCAAAATTTCCAAAATGGAAACAAAGAGTGAAGTAGATACAGCGAACTCCTGCTTCATGCACAAGCCGCGGCTGCGTCCAGACCTCGCCGAGTGCGGTGGTCGAAATATCATGAGCTTCTAACAAAAAGCGAAAAAGGTATAGTGTGTATGAGCTTAAGGTTAAATGCTTTTGATACAAGGGATACCCTTCGATGAATCAGAAAGCCTTCAAGACATCGACTATTTACGTGAAAACGAGCATCATAGTGAAACTTGGGTGTGGGGTTTTCGCATGGAACACATACCCTGTGAGACACTCTGCCCAATTCGACAACTTCGGCCAACTTTACGCGCTTATGAGCTGGTGGGCGCGGTGTGGAGGCGTTTGAATGGCTACTGTCTCCAGACGGGGTCAGAGGCCGTCTGTGC